TAGAGTGGTCGTTAAAAATTTTTTTTTTCCGATGCCTTAAAAACCTTCCTTTTGATAAAAAAATACGGGGGGATTATTTTTTTTTTTTTTAACAACAAGAACACGTGTCGCAAGCCGATTGAAGTTTATTTTTTCATAAAATCGTAGTGTTTCAAAATATCTCTTAAAGTAGACGGATTTGAGAAAAAATCTGAAAATTTTGATTTTATGGAGTTAATGAGTTTATTACTGAGAATATCTTCATAAATATGAACTTCATGAAAAATCAAACAAGATGCAATTTTGTAGAAAATAAAACTCTCTAGCCTGACCTCTAGTAGATACTTCAATTTTACAAATATCATCGTAGTCCCTATCTTTAGGTGCGCCACTTTTGCGTTTTTTTAATTGAGGGCCCCTGGCTAATATAGTTCTCTTTTTGATTAAAAGAAATGGCTGCAACTGTACATCGAACATTATATGTCTGCAGCATTATTAGTCATGTTTAATAATAAACTGTGACTGTTTTGAACCAGCCTATTACCAGCAGATACATTGTTATCCATTAATCCGCATTCTTCCATTTCTGTCACATAATCTTTGTTGTTTCGTTCTCTTTTACAAAAATATTGTGCACAGTTTGAATGATTTACAAATGTGTGATAAGGAGAGTTTTTAATGTCTACAGTTAATTGTTTCACGTTGTCAACAATACCACTGGTATTTGTTCTGTGGTAATTTACAGCCGATATAATTCCCACTCGTTTATTCAAAATCCTATCACTCAAACTCTTTTTTAGTTATGGACTTACTATTTTGTTTTTTGAACTGTATTTTTTTTTGTCAAATATAAAAATGATTCTAAAGTTGACCATGGAAAAATCACGGATTCTTCACAATTCTGTCGATCATGGCTTACTTTAGAACCATTGTTTTTGGATCACACGTTATAATATCAAAATATAAACTTATAACTCCAGATGAAGCGTTATAATTAACTTTATATGATCGCTTAGACCATGTACCGTCAACAATCATTGCCATTAGACCATTTTCTTGTTCATCTACTTCTCCAATATCTTTTGCTAATTGCAATTCTTCCAGTCCTGCTTGTTCCATGGCCTCCCAAGCTGCTTCAAAAATACTTTTACTTACCAACTCATTATGAGCTGAGTATTGTCTAAAAGACATTTTAGGCTGTTAGTACATTAGGATTTGAAATTAGCAAAATAATAAAGATTACTTTTATAATATTTCCAATAAATTAAAAATTAATATAATCTGTTCTTAGGAATATTTTGAAAATTTTCCATTGTTTTTGACTCAAAATATTCATGAATTCTGATATAATTTGATAATAAATCAATAAAAATCATATTCTCATATCAATCAAATTATATTTTTGTTTTCTTTAGTAAAATGTGTAATAAAAATAGTCTAACCTTTTGCTAGTAACTGCACGACTTTTCTTTCATACTTAGTTACACAACACGTAAAAAATAATAAAAAATATATTATACTAAATTTTTACAAGCCAAAGAGCGAGTTAGACCCTGGCCGAATTATTTTATATTTGCTCTTCCAGGCTACCGTTGGTTACAGGTATATGATAAAGAGGGAAGTATTTTCACAAGTTCGAAATAAAAATATTATTGGAAAACGGTTTACTACAAAACTCAATTAGTTTTTGATTTTAGCAAAAACTAAATAGAAAAAAATCTGCAAATTAATAAAAATTTAATGGTCATTTTTAATTTTTATTTAAAAAACTAGGGTGTATCAAAAAAATAAGACTAGAGATTATTAGGGTGTTTCTTTTGAATACTCTAGCAAATTATGCTGATGATAAATAACTAAGATACATGGACAATGCTAAAATAGTAAACTGCGAAAACAGCCTTAAATTCGTTATTTTAATTGTATACCAACTAATATCTGAAAAAAGTAAAAAAATGGTTTCAATCGAATTTGTTAACCCTAAATATTCAAAAAACTAAAGTTATTCCTTTCTGTACAAATGAAAGTACTCTTCCTAATTATAGAAGTATCACTTTGGAAAAGGACGAAATCCTTTATTTTTCAAAACACGTAAAATACCTTGGTATTCTTGTTGATACCTTCCTTAGATGGGATGCTCACGCGGATAGTCTGAAAAAGAAAATGCGTTCGTTAATTTACAAATTTTATCAATGCCGCCATATACTTACCTTAGATAAAATGAAGATAATTTATTTTGCTCTTGTAGAATCATTGCTAAATTATGGAATAATTGGTTGGGGTGGTTTAAGAAAAAAATTTATGAAACCTATAGAGATAGTTCAAAAAAAAATTTTAAAAATAATGTCTTTTAAACCACAACGGTTTAGTTCTAACCAATTATTTCACGATACTTATGCAAATCTTAGATATAAGTAGATTATTTGTCAAAACATCTCTGACTTTTGCAATAAAACATAATATTGTTACATCCACAATAATTGATCACAATTATTTGACAAGATCAAATCTAGCAAATAATGTTTACTTACCTAGAGTGAATAAAGACTTAGGTCAAAGATGTCACACTTATGTTATACCAAGATTATATAATAAGCTACCGCAAGAGCTGAGACAGATTAAAGACTTTAGAAGAGTAAAACACAAGTTAAAACAATGGATCCTTCATGAAAATTTTGGTGATATAATAGTAAAAAAAAAAAAAAGAAATTTATTTATTAAAAAATATAGAATCAACACTCTCTCTATCTCTCTCAACAAATGTTTATCTATATGTCTTTTTTTTACTGTTTTTACTATTTTTACTATTTTTACTTTTTTTTACTTTTTTTTTACTTTCTTACTTTTCTTACGTTTCTTACTTTTTACTATATTAGATTAGTTTTTAAGCTATAAATGTACTTACCTTTTAATATGTTTTTTAACAGTACTCTTTTTGTTTACATTTTTTACATGTGTTAAGAAATATTGCTAAGATTAAATTATAAAAATTATTTTAATAAACGGCTATACCATAGACAGGCCTGATGGGCTTAAATGGATTACCTTGTTTATTACTTGAGTTCATAAATTTAATCTATTTTTTCTCTTTGTAATTTTATAACTTTATTTTGTAATAAACAATTTATTATTATTATTATTATTATACCAACTAATAAAAATTCACTGTTAACCAAAATTAATGACAGCAATTAATACGAAAAATAGGTTTTGTCGAGCAAACCCATCTCTAATCTCTAAAACTTTTGGAACATTTAACACTCTCCGTAAAGTGAACTGAAATAGAGGATAGCGGGGTAGCATCTTTAAATAATACATTGTTTCTTAGATTGAGACAAATGGATGCTGGAGAGATTAAGCGCACTGCAGTTCCAGAAAGAAAAGGCCAGTTCACGCGTTTCCAGCTGTGAAAGGAGAAATAGATCTGAATCCAAAAATTGGGGTATCATTGGAAAGGTAGCGCCTTGCTGCCAATTTGGTTTGTTAAAATAATAATGAAAATATTTGATCCCGTTAGTTAAGAATTTACTAACGGTAACAAACCAAATTACATTTAATCCAGGGGTAGCACGGGCGCATTCGAGATTGCTAAAAATAGTGGATATAGGCTCATCTCCGCCCGGCTCATCTCCGCCCGCAATCTTTTTCGGCTCATCTCCGCCCACGGTTATGGTCAATTGAAATACCCGGCTCATTTCTACCCAGATTTTTCATTATACAAAACAAGCCATTTGTGCTACTAAATATATTTTATACATATCCAACGACAATTATTCAATTTGATAGTATAAACAAATTTAAAGATCCCACAGTATCCCATCAGTTATTTTAAAATAATCATCAGGGTGATTCTCACGATATGTGGAAAATTCCGAAACAAAAATTCAAAAACTTTGAATTAACGCTACTAAAAAAATATTACGGCAAATGATTGGTAACATATAGATGAAAAACCCACTATACAGTATGGTTCAAATGAAAGGAATAAATTCATTATAATGGAAGTAGTAGGTTTTTCGAAAAAATGCTCGGACTGGTCAATTTTGTTTACTTAAAGCGCAATTTTTTAAATAGAATCCAATTTTCCCCCACTTCCCATTTTTGGGGAGTGACGTCATTGACAATTTTTTTAAATAGTAACCCCATTTTTTTTTTCTTGATTTTGGTAGATCTTGCAATTTTCTACTCGGAAACATAATATTTGTTAAATCTGACAATTTTTTTTTTGAATAAAAGTCATTTAAAGATCAGATACATACATTTTATTTTATTTTGAAACACAATAAATGAATAAAAGATTATTTGTAATTAAATGCTTCATCTAAAAAAAAAAATAATAATAAAAAGAATTTAATGACAATTCCACAAATTCTTTTTTAATATTATTATTATTAATATTATTATTATTATTATTATTTTGTTAGATTAAGCACTTAATTACAAATAATTATCTTTTATTCAATTATTGTGTTCTCAAAATAAATTAAAATTTATGTGTCTAATCTTTAAATGACTTTTATTCAAAAAAAAATGTTATGTAAGATATTTCAAATATTATGTTTCCGAGTAGGAAATTGCAAGATCTAACAAAATCAAGAAAAAAAAATTGGGGTTACTATTTAAAAAAATTGTCAATGACGTCACTGCCCAAAAATGGGAAGTGGGGGAAAATTGAATTCTATTTAAAAAATTGCGCTTTAAGTAAACAAAATTGACCTGTCCGAGCATTTATTCCTTTCATTTGAACCATACTGTATGTGGCTACACAGTTTATAAGTTATTACGAAAAAAAAATAGAAAAAAATTAAATTGATGTTTTCGGAGGTGAGAATTTCATTTAATTAGAACGGTTACTATTACATTATTTATACAGTAAATTATGAGTTGCTGTTAACATATTTATTGTTTTCAGAAATAACATTAATTTTTATATCAATATTCTAAAAAAAAACTAGTCACATTAAATATTTTTAACTGAAATTGGATATCCAAAGTTGTTAAAGAACATTTAAAAAATTTTAAACTTATAACAAATATTGAAAATGATTGTCTGCAAGAAGATGTTGTCCTCGTGTATTTATTGATGGTTGAGAAAGAACTAGAACAATATCTTTTTTATGAACCATGGAGATATCTTCTACGTTAGGGAAGGTGAATTTATTTGTGGAATGCATTCTTTGCATAAACTTCACTGTAAAATCTTCGACATCTTCAGAGATAATGACCCCGACGTAATGTTTAACAGCTTTCTTGCCCAAAAATGCTACTACAACATAATTATTTTCTTTGGCAATCAACGGCTGCACATAATTATTTTCAATGGCAATCAACGGCTGCTTTTTATTTTTTGTTTCTTCATCGTCACTATTTGAAGAGTACACATCAGAGACACGAAGACGCTGCTTATTATGTGTTGATAGTGTCACGGGAAGCGACGTCTTACAACTCTGATCAAATAAAGGATATCTTCCTATAGAATAGTGTTCACAACGTAATGAAGGTAAACATTGCAAACAAGATATAATTCTGATATCCATCTCACTTTTATCTTTCGCACACACTACTTCGTGTGTTTTAAAAACCCCTTTGAGTTTTGGGAGGCTTTTGGGTATTTTTGCTTCTATAGCAGCAAGTTGAGAATATTTTAAATCTAATTGAAATATTTCTACTCCTTGACAATTCTATTTTATAGCGGAAATAAAAATGTCCTTTCTCTGTATAATGCCATCTTGTGGTTTCGACTTCAAGTTGTGCTGGTAAATACATTCCTATTAAATAGAACATTGCTCGATTTCGATATTGCGTGGTAGGGCCATCGCTTAAAAATTGCACAACTCTAAGATTATTTTTGATTGCTTTTAATTTATCAATAATAGGCATTAAATGCGCACAAATAGCAACTTTATCGTGTCGTAAGTTTTTTAACACTGTACAAAAACAATTTGTTGTAACTTGTCTATCTATATCTGATTTGTGGTAAGTTACTACTGTGTGCAATGATAACTGAAGTTTGGATCCTCCAAAATGAGCAGATTGAACTTCTTCTCCGTATTTACAGGAATAATTTTCCGAAAAGTCTATATGGATCAAAACTTCATCAGTTGTAAGAGTATTTCTTTAGCAGTGTAAACTTTTTCTTTAATAGTTTTCTTACAAATTTTTTCTTTGCCTCTAATCATCAGTTTGTTTTTGTACAGTCCACCGATCAAAAACTACATTTTCTGCGTTCTCAAATTCTACAATTTGGAGCTCTTTATCTTTACACGAAGGGCACATTCTTGCTAAACATTTTTCACTTAATATGTAATTTTCACAGCACAAACTTTTACAAAGTTCATCAGGTGTACTCTCATCAATCATATTGTATATTTTTAACCGTCGTAGCAGTAAAGAAATATTGGAATGTATCACACACAAGCAAGTGTTTCTTATTTCAACAGATCCCTCGATTATCCAAAAAGGTCTAAATCGACAGAAAGTAGCGTAGCTTATGTAGAATTTCTAATCAATGACAAATCTTTTATGAAGGTTTTTGAGGGAATTATTCAATAATTTCTTTTGTTTTTTCATATTATTATTCTAAATAAAATCACCCTTCCCTGAACAAAGGCGGCTACATTCATCCTTTTTCAAGAAATTAGTAATAAGTTTTTTAACTTTGTTCATTCGTTGTTGCCTCTTGGTTTCAGTGTTCGAATTTTTACGAACATAAGAAGATATACGTTTTAAATAATTTTCGTTTCCATACTTTTTAATTATTTCACCCGAAACGTTTTTCCAGAAGATTTGCTTGTCTTTTGTACTTTTCAGGGCACCACAATTGTATGCTAATTGTCGTCCAATTGTGTCGCCAAGAAGTAATTTCTTTCTTGCTTCTGCGGACACTTTTCTACAATCCTCTCTGGATCATTTTTCTTTTGAGTTTTACTTTTAAATCGTTTTATACTTTTCTTTTTTTTGCCAGTTGTTGTGTCAGCTCCGCTATTTTATTATTAAGCTTTCGAAGATGTACTCGTCTTCTTAATTTTCCCTGTCGTAGTCGCCTATCTGCTTGGTGAACTTCATCCAACATAGGATGAGGCGTTGGAGGAGCATTTTTTTCTTCCAATCTTTGATGTATTAACGTTCCTTCTTTTTTCGCCACTCTTTTCGTTGTTGACTGCGTTCTCGGTATGACATTTGTAAAATAGATTTAATTTTACTAGCTTATTTTCTATTGTAATAACGTTTCCGTTCTTTACGCTTTGCCTCTTTATATTTGTTGGAATTATTTCGTGTTTTCTCACGAAACCTCTTGACAGCTTCTCGTTGTTTTTGTTTCCTTTGCTCGTCGCTGCATTTTCTTTTGGACCGGACCATATTCCTGCTAATACGAAAATACTTAAATACGAAAATACTTAAATACGAAATACAAGATATTTGCATTATTTCCCACCACCACCGTAACAATTTTTTCACCTCCGTTATACCCGTAAATTACGGATGTGAGATTTTTAGGATAAAATTGACTAAATTTCCTTAAAAAGCTAGGTCATCACTATATCAAACTACCATTAGAATGCATGCAAATTATTTCTTATTCTAACAAAAAAAATATATTATAAAAACTTACTTTAAAATTAATGTTTACGGATGTGAGGGTTTCCAGAAACCAAAATCACTCACTTTGAATAAACCGAACAACCTTCCTATTGAAAATCTTATGCGATACTGATTTAGCAACCAACGAGGTATGCGTTGTGTTATGGTGGTGGGGATGACGGAAAGCACAACAACAACAACATGGCCAAAAGTCATATTTTTAAGCTATTAATAAAGCAAGAATACTTTTTTCGGAGGTGAGATGTTACTTGAGAACAGAGTTCAAATATGCCTATTAAATTAAATATAACATATTAAGAATATTACTTTGTAGTATTTTAGTAACCTATAAAATAGTATTTAATATACTAGACCTCTTTTGTGTTGAAATTTCAGTCAGATATTTATTTTAAATTTATGATATCCAGTAGGAATGTATATCGGAGGTGAGATTATCATTTTTAAAAGGCTTTATTTTTAACTTTAACTTTATTTAACTATAATTTTTATTTAAATTTATAAACATTATTGATTGATTGAAATATTATAAATACGTGTTTTGAGTTACGGTTAGTTTTGTTTTAATACAAACGATGTGTATGGCATATTTTCATCTCTCGTGAGAATCACCCATCAACAGTAAGAATTCTATACCAGCAAACTCATTTTTCAATGATAATTTTGTTTCCTTTGGGTAACACGACAACATCATTCGGAAACCAGTGAAACGAAGAAGAAGGTAAACACGAAAAGAAAGGCGAGATGAATGACAAATAAACCGGGAAATCCCATGAATTACAAAGGAGTGTCTCCGGTTACTACGTTCGGATCGGGTTTCCGTTTTTCTTTTAGTTTGCTTAAAACCTAAAGGAAATTAAAGTGGAAATTACAGATGTATTTGAACTTTTTCCTCTCTCGCAAATAAGACACTCCGAAAACGCTGCTTTTTGACAACCTTCCTTAGCTAAAATTGCCTTGAAACCTAAGTGTTTTTGGGGATTTTCAAAGAAAATGTTTCTTTTGACGAAAAATAATTTATTGTATCCTAATTTTTATCTTAGTAGAACGAGAAAAGAAATAACGAAATAATACGATATCTTCTTTACTTTTAAACATTATTTCGAAATTAGATATATTATTACATAATTTTAAATTAGGTAATTTAGTCAAGATGTCTGCATGAAAACAACATGTCAAAAGAAATTATAGTAGGAGACGCACTGATAATGCAGTGTGAAGTTTTATGAATCGCGCCGTGGCCAGCCGTCGCTATGCTGAGATCGGCCAAATAAACAGGTCCGGTCTCAGGCAAATTTTAACACGGGTTTAAATTTTATCTCAAAATTTGTATGTTCAATAATAAAAAATCAAATCAAATTTATTTGTTTAAATATTAAAATACATTACCTAGTAGTAAAAAAAATAGTTAGACAAAAAAAAAAGTTCTTTAAAGACATCTGATTGAGCATCGAACCTAGGCATTTCTGCCTGTTTTGCTTCTGATCAATCAGATGACTCTATTTATGTACATATTTTTTTTAGAGACGGATATTGAATTTTACATATAATTATTTATCACTTAACAAAAGACACAATATTTAAAAATAAGAACAGGGGACGAAGAAATTCGACAGAATAAACCGATAAATAAAAAATAGACAATACCTTACGAAAAGTAGACAAAAACGACGAGGCGCATGTGCCTTTTGGCTTTTGATATGTTTTTTATTTATACTATCTCGGAGAACATAAAATTTGTGAATTAGGGCTCTTGGTCTATTACTAACATGGACAACAGAGTTGGGTAGTATCCGGATACAGTATCCGAATACTTTATGTGTATCCGAAAGCTGTATCCGGATACTTTTCAAATTTTGTATCCGGTATCCGTATCCGTGACCAAATTTGTAAGTATTCGGATACCGGATACTTTTTTCGGCATTCGGATACTTTTAAATTATTTACCACAATCGTAACTGATCCATTAAGAGGAAGTAATACCCTTAAAAATACTTTATTTATATTTCTCAAGCGATTTAAATGAATTTTTTTGTCACATTTTACACGAAACTATAATAATTTTTTAATATAAGATGATTTGCCAAGATAAATATACCGGGTGTTCTAAATTAAAGCGTTACAGCTATATACCGCTTTTTATAAAAAAAAAACTTTTCAAAAGAAAGTTTTATAGTTTTGTAGGGAAAAACTTTTGGCTAAAATCGTTTTTTATAGCTAACCATAATATGGCTTTCGCGCAGCAACATTTTCAAGTAGCTGTTACTCAAAAAGTAAAAGTCCAATAAAAAAAATATTTCCCTCAAAAGTTTCTTATTTTTTTATGTACTTTAAGAATATCTAAGAAAAAAATGGGATTCCCATTAAAAAAAAAAACAAAGTTCACCTCGATATGGCCATATTATGGTCAGCTATAAAAAAATGAATTTAGCCAAAATGTTTCCCCCAAAAAACTATAAAACTTTTGTCTGAAACTTTTTTTTCTAAAATGCATATTTTCGGCGGTATTTAACTGTAACACTTTAATTTGAACACCCGGTATATATTTTTTAATTACGCTCAATTATAAAAAACTGGCTCCCCACTAATCTAAATAATTACATTATCTAACCATTCCTGAAATTTAAAATTTCTACTTTCTTCTATTAACATGTAAAATTATTTTCAAAATCCATTTTTAAAGTAATTTTAAAAAAGTAAAAATAAATTTGAAATTTTAGGAATGGTTACATAATGTCATTATATAGATTTATCGGGAGCCAGTTTTTAGAAAAAGTGCATAATTAAAAAATATATATTTTTATCTTGGCAGATCAGTTTAAAATAACAAAAATATTAAGAATTAAAATTTCGATATATAGAATTTCTTTAGATTTATATAGACACGACACTGGCTGGTTTTTGGCGCGGTTCAGGCGCGACTCGCTTTATTTACGCACCTTTATGTTTTATTATTCATTTTGTTTTAAGGTTTTATATTCACAGATTAAAAATAATGAACAATTTATTGAGTAGTTTTTTCCTGTTTCTATTATATCGCCTTCCATTTTCGATAATTTATTTATGCCTAGTATTGTTTATTGTTACACGTAATCAATCGTATTGCATAAGTATAACTATTGGTATAAAAACATTATTTTAACTCACTTTAAAAGTATCCGTAAAAGTATCCGAGAAAGTATCCGGATACTTGTATCCGAGTACTTTTTAGGTGAAAGTATCCTAAAAAGTATCCGGATACATTGTAAGTATCCGTATCCGGTACTCGGATACTTTTTTCCTGTATCCGACCCAACTCTGATGGACAATATGCTCAGACCAACGTATGTATTGATTAAGTATCACACCTAGGTATTACTGAAGCCCCTTCTTATGGGGCCTCATTATTGCATTCGTAAAGACGAAAAAATTTTCTGACCCCCATTTTTTAAAACTTTTTTCATGTTTCTGATCATTCTAATTTCGAAAATAAAAAAAAAATTCATCTTGTCGTCTGTATGTATGTATGCCGGCACGATAACTCTAGAACGAAAGTACTAATCGACTTGCAGTTTTGATTTTCTTGAATAATTACTTCTAACTTAGAACCCTATTGATTTTCAGAATTATCGGTTCATCCTAACTACTTTAATAACAATTTTCTTAAAATCCGACTATGCATTCCTTATGTGACAATTTTAGGAATTCCAATTATTTGTAACGTCAAAATTCCTAACATTCTTTACATTCCATAAATTGCAAACATTCTCTAACGACCTGTCAAACAACAGCTGTTGATAGTAAAGGTGTAATTTCTAAAGCGGGTTGCGACCTTCATAATTGCAACCATATAGCCATTTTGGAGGCTATTTTTATTCGAAATTAGTCGCCAAGCCTGCCAATTTATGAAAAATATATCAGTAGTTTCTTAAAAATGACTTTTTTATGGTGGTGCTATTAAACGTACTACTATTTCGCCCCTAGCCACAAAAACACCTTCATTAAATTTACTGGTTCTCTGTCGCAACCCCATAGAATCAAAATAATGCTTGGCTGTGCCTGTCAAGTATCAAGATGTCAACTGTGATATATGAATGGCTCTTAAATGTCAAATTATTTAAAAATGTATACTTCTTTTGATATTTATTGCAAATAATACATATCTCTATTCAGGCTTTCCATAAATAAAGGTATAGCAAAACAGATAATATAATGTTCTTATGCAAAGCACTTTTTTATTATACAGGGTAGCTGTTAAAGATGGAACCAAACCTATAGTGCTTAAACGGTTCAACATACAAAACCCAAAATTTCAGAATTTCAACTAAATATATTTGCGCATATTTTAGCCCAAAAATTATTTTTTTTATAATTACAAAATTTTAAGCATGGCCGCCATCTTGATTTTTTTAAATCGCATCATAGGTCATGTGATATACCATTTGAAAGGGTTTAATACCCTGATTACAAAAATGTATGTATTTGACGTCTTGTGTCAAATGCACAGCCTTCGACGCTCCCTATTAATAATATCCTTTTCGTTGTGTTTAGACCCCATGGTTTCTTGTATTGTAGTTGTGATATTGTGAATTATATTGAATTTTTTCTAATAGATCTGATGCGATGGTACTGTCATTTTTATTTTATAAATAAATATCAGTCATGTACTGAACATAATTCTGAACTGAAAGCCAATTTATTTCTTTTAACATAGTTGCAATACTCATCCTTCTTTCCTTTTTTAATAGAATATAAATAGGCGAAGTAAGAAGCCCAAATATTTTA